GGGGGGGGGGTGGAGGGAGGGGTTAATTTCTGTTTGTTTATTTATTTGCTTAAATCCATTGTTAAGTTTTGTCAAGAATGTAAATGAGATTTAATGGGGAGTCAATCTGATGATCAAGTACGGATCATGCGTGAACAGTAGTATGAGTCGACAAATACATACAGGTGTAAATGGGTTTGGACCTCTCAGAAATAAAGGAGCCTAAATAAAAATTCTAAATAGCATGTCTATACTTTTCTCAATCATTTATTTAGTTCATTATAGAACTTTACAAAACTATTGTAACTTGAAATCTTAGATCACTAGTAAAAGCTAATCCTAGTTCTGGTTGGATACCTGAAGAAATATTAACTAGAGACTCCAAATGAAACCTAATCCCAACAAACTATAATTTGAGTCTAATCAGAATAGAATATAAATCCAAGAATGCTTCAAAAACTTAAACTCTTACTCCTGCATCAATGAATTCCGTTAGCAGGACTTCTTATGATTGGCGTTCTGTGGGAATTCTCATAATAATGTATAACTTTATGACCAAGTAAATGAGATTTGCATTGACCATATAATAAAAGCAGATTTTGGACCATGGAGCAACATGCGAAAATTTTAGATATTTCGAAATTCAGCAAAATTATTGACTGAATTTCCTTATATTTCTAGAATTTTTTGGCTGTCTGGATCACTGGATCACTGAACAAGTGGGAGAATGTAAAACTTGTTTTGGACACTATAAGGTAGCCCACATATTTGTGTGACAATTGAACAGTCTATTGCAATGTAAATTTATTTGGAAAGAAACTACTAAGAATTAACTTGGAAAGGTTCTCTACCAGTGCCAATCAAGCCTGCGATACTGTGCTGCATTTTAAACAGGCCTTTTTGGAGAGGCATGGGTCTGATTGCTTTGACATTAACATGGTGGTTAGTGAAATTTCATGAGCATCTGCATCACTTAAAAGTTAATAATGTCTATCCAGCAATTTTCTGTTCATGAAACAATGAAGTTATCTGTGTTCAACACCTTGCAATACTCACTCTACCCTCTCAAAAAACTAATAACAAATATGTAACAATGTTTTGGTTGGATGATGTGAAGGGTTCAAAATGTGTTGTACATTCTTTTGGTGGTCATCTGACTTGGATGTTTAAAAGCTTTGGTGAATTCATGGTACCAGTTTCATGTCTTTGTAGTTTATAGAGTGCTTTTGGTCTTTACAAAGATGCCAAAGTCTTATCTTGCAGCTTGTTAAGATTTCCTTTGTAATCATCATTCCTGAAAATCTCTTCATTTATGAAATTTTCTCGATGTATGTCATTAATATTAGATTATTTTAGAATAGGTGTTTTACTTTGTAAAAGCGAAGTCTTGGAACAATAATGACATATGGGTAGTCTGCATCTGTTACATTAGCATTGTTCTTAAGTGTCTTGGTTTAGAATTGTCTTTTTTATATTATTTTTTTCTGTCATGACCATGAATATGCCGCAGATTGAAGAAAAAAAGCAAGCTGCTGCTGATGTGTTGTATCAATATTCAAAATTTGCTATGGCCTGTATCGGTAATCGAGTTCGACCTTGTGACTTAAGGTTGCATTTGATGAAGGTACTTGGTATTATTTTCAGTTTTAATTTAGCTGTGCACTGGATCCAGAATGGTCCTTTTCTAGTTGATCTGGACGTAAACTGTTGAATACATATGTAGTAAATACTGATTCTGTCAGTAGGGAACTTGTGTTGCCAATTAAAAAGTGAATGCTTGTAGATGATTACCTTGTACAATCAGCTAACTAGGATTTATTTCTTCTTCCACCTGAAAAGTGGATGAAAATAATGAATTTAATTTCTGTACAATCTGTTAGAGCAAATTTGTCTCTTTCTAGGTTTAGTACGCCATTATACTTTCAAAATTAATAAGAACCTGCGCCAGTTGGAATTAGGGAATATTGCTATATGCGCACTCCCACCATCAAATACATGTACTTTACTCCCAAATAAATCTGCTTCAGTTACTGTAACTGTGAATATTGGACCAAACCGAATGATGATTAAAATAATTCGAAAGGAGAGAAAGAAGATGGAACTAAAGATATTTGCAACTGATCTCTTTGAATTTCTTTGTGCAATACTATTAGGAAATATCAGGGTTGCCAACTTCTTTAAAAAGGGAATCATCCCAAGTTGCTGCTGCTTCAGATGTAATGGGAGAATCGTCAAGCTCAGGGACTTCTAGACTTGACAAAGCAGACAGTTTTCGAGCACTTTAATCTTTGGAGTGCCTTCCTAGTGTCTTGTTTATATTAGTGGTACAATTTGCTCCTCTATCTCCTTCTGTAATGTGAATTTACTCGTCTTTGGCAATTCATCAATTCTGGAAGATTATGCATTTCTAGCAAATTAATGTTCCCATCCCTACTGTTGATATAGGTTTCTGGTGTTTTTATTAAGCATTCAAGACTGTTTAGGTTGTGGGAATATCAATCCTCAGTATCGGGAATATGGTTTAAGCCTTTCCTACTTTGTTTGGTCGGCGATTTAAGCAATCTTTTGAACATGATCTAAATGCAGAGCCGGGTTTTGAACCTTGGGTTATATCTTTTCTCTTATGACATTTTAAGGTTGATTTTTTATACGAGTGTAATTATGATTGGTTGTATTCAAATTCAAAGCTGACCGTGATAAAGGAGAATCTACCAGAGTTGATGATTGATTCTTCGGGCTCGTTTCGCAGGCATTCTCTGAAAACTCTTCTGACTAAATAAAACACTTTTAGAAAATTATTTAAATAAATTCAAAAGCTGCTTATTAATCTCTGAAGTAATTTTTGACTTCTTGAAAAGCATTGCCAAACAAGCTCGAAGAGTTGATCATCAACTCGACCAGTGTTGAATTTGATAGTCATTTTCTTTTAAAAAATGTAAAAGCAAAAGCAAAAGTCGGACGATCAATTTTTACTTGACAATCAATGTCTATCTTAATATAAAACTAATTAACTTGCCCAACATAATTGATACATAAGCTTAAAATATAGGATAAAATATACAAGTGGCACTGTGACTGCACTAACTCTAGTATCACACGAAACATTCAAAATTAAAAATGACGTAAACGATCGAAACTATCAACCTAATTATTTTGGCCCTTTCTCTGGAGAAAACTTGGATAAAGTCGTGTGAACTATACACATGCATCGTTGACTTTGTGAAAAACGAAGTCCCGATTTCTTTTATCAATGAATATAATTTTATAGCCTGTTTGGGAGTGATTTTTTAGTTCAAAAAATTGATTTTTTAACCGTTATTTCATTATTTCAGCCGTCATATTTGACTTATTCTCTCACAGGTGAACCCAACTTTTCTCCTAACGCTCAAAAAATCAATTCTCAAAATCATTTCCAAACAGGCTCTTAATCGGATAGAAATGGAGATCCTAGTGATTCTAAACAAAGATATTTATTACTATAGAGCAGCAGTTCATTAATGGAGATGAACTAAAAGGGAAAATAAGCAGAGGCAAAGAGTACAACACGCAAGTACGAGGCTAAAAGTCCCACAAACTATGCCAATAATTTGGAGAAAGAGAGAAAACTGTGCATCTATTTTGCGTTTATAATTATAGGCATGTGCATAATTCCATCCTTGCTTAGCTACACAGCAATTTTCGAGTCTTTCTTTTACTCTGATTTCTTGTATCCTTTCCCTCAGAATGCACAGATTCACATCAACAATGTCTCTTGATTTCCCTGTCAAAGGAAAGTACAGAAAGAAACAACTAAACATTGATTTTTAAGACGACCAAGAACAAGAAGAAATTGTTAAGGATAAATCCCATATCGAACATATAAGGGTTGAACTACTACTCAGACAAGTTGCCCATAATGCTCAAACGAATCATAAGATATCAAGATTCGTGTTGTCAAACGAGGGACGCGTAAATTTTACCTTCTTCACCGTAGCTTTGGGATCTCACTTGAAGGAACCGATGAAACCGAGGCTTCTTATATGGCAAAGTCGCAGAACAAAAACTAGTTGTAGAAGAAGAAGCCATTAAGCATTAGCCTTGCATGTTTTGTGCAGATCATTCTCGTGCTAAAGGAAAATAAATTTTGTGAAATAAGCATATTCAGGTTCTTTCTGGATTGTATTTAGCTGTTGATGACACAAGTTGATGTATTTTATATAAGTTTGATAAGGCCCCGTTTGGGAGGGATTTTGAGAATTGGTTTTTTGACCGTTAGAAGAAAAATGGGGTCCACTTGTGAGAGAAGAAGTCAAAAATTATGACTGGAATAGTGAAATAACGATCAAAAAATCAATTTTTTGGGGTACAAAATTCCTCCCAAACAGGCTGTAAGAATTCGACCACAGTTTTGAGGGGCGGCTATATGAAAATGTCAAAAATATATACAATAAATCCAGCCAATTAGTCACGTGATTCTTGTAAGCAGACAGCAATAGAATTTAAAAATAGTGTTATTTTTTAGAAAATTATTTAGATTTCAATTATTTAATTACACGAAGCTAATCCAAAGTCAAAAATAATTTATTGACTAATTGATTGGTTCATTCATTTTATGTGGGACATGCTAATTAATTTCTCGTAATGTTGACAAAAACTATAAAAGTCGAGTATAGGGTTTATGAGTATTTAAATTCTTTTATAACGACTCATCGTTAATATATAATTTATACAAGTAAGTGAATTTTGAAAAAGCTAAGTGACAAGTTTACCAACCATATTTGTTTGTAATTAAAATAACAAAAGTATAAAATTTATATATTAACCACGAGAATTTCCATCATGAATAAAATGAAAGTGAAAAATAGTTTTTTTCTATGAATAAGCTTATAAATAAAAAATGACGTCTAAAATTACTGATAGACAAATTATATCGTTATTAACTTATTACAAATCTAGAAATCAAAGAAAGAATCATCGGTTTTATCAACAATTTTTCTGTTGACAATCTTCAAGAAACATCGTCGTTGATAGCCGACAGTGTATTTTTTAGTAGTTCTATTTTAATTATTCACATGTATTGATATTCCTTAGAATTACAAATAATAATATCATCGACGAAATTTCTTTCTTCTTGGGATGCATATTTATTTGAAGGTGCTGGAATTAAACTAATTTAGAGCCTGTTTGGGAGTGATTTTTTTCCCCACAAAATTGATTTTTTGATCGTTATTTCACTATTTCAGTCATTATATTTGACTTCTTCTTTCACAGGTGGACCCCACTTCCTAACGATCAAAAAATCAATTCTCAAAATCACTCCCAATCAAGCTCTTAGTGCTTTATTGTGGTGGCAAATATGTCAAGATATAGTCGATGGCGTTTATCATGGTAATTATAAGATGCATAGAGAGAGGGGAAAAGTAATCTTAAATCTAGAATGCAATTATCTTTTACCTGTTTTTGTTCCATTATATTCCCGAGAAGAAAATTAATCCCTTCTCTTGTTTTATCTAAACACGTGTTTGAGTTCCATTCTTTGAAAAAAAGAATTTTGCTACTGTAACAATAGGGCTGATAGCCCCCCTAATCGAACCCCACCAATAGGTGGGGGGATCCCATTTTTTCATGCAGGACCCCCTATGGGTGGGGTTTGGTCAAGGGGCTGTCAGCCCCTTGTTACAGTAGCAAAATCATTGAAAAAAATATATATTTTTAAATACTGATTTGATATCATTTCAACTACACATTTTCAATAAAATAATATCATACGTAAATTCAAAATATTTTCTTTTTTTTTAACCACACATTTTTTATCAATACACTATATTCATTTTTATGAAAAAAAGGGGCTCAAATCAAGTCAAAGATATATTTGGGTAAACATTTGTTTGTTCAATTGACAAATAATCTTTCATCTGCTAGAGTACAAGTTTTATAATTACTGGTAATGCTGTTGTTGAATCAACCTTATGTTTTTTGATTTCGATCCATAATTTGTTATTGAAAAAAAAAAAGAAAAAAAAATACATTTTGCCAAAAATGAAGCCCGTGATTATATATATATTTTCTTTCTTGTGCTTGTTGACTTTTTTGGTTATGTTAATGGAAGTCCAGTAGCCCTTTGTCCTACAAATATAAATATTTTTAACAGAATTAATATAGGAGAGATAGCTGTCATCCTGTGAGATTGGTTGCTACCAAAGATTAATATAGGAGAGATAGTTGTTAACCCGTGAGATTGACTGCTACCAAAAAGATTAATATAGGAGAGATAGTTGTTAACCCGTGAGATTGGCTGCTACCAAAAACTAATTTGGTAGCAGCCAATCACAGGGAGACAGCCTTGCATTTATTTTATTAAATAAAATCTTTTACCTTTAGAAAAATCCCTTATTTTATGAAGTGCGTTTTAGATTTATTATTATTATTTTTTTCAATAAACTCCTAAAATTTATTATTGCAAATCCTTCCACTTATGGGTAGTTATTTTGATCCATTTAGACTTCTCAAATTTTGCAAAAATTATTATAGACCTATAGTTAACTGTATATCTTACCGTATAATCTAAAAGTAATGCTATTTGCAGTTATTCACTACCATAGTTGCACAATGTGTTATACATGTGACAGTTAATAATTTGATATAATTATTTAATAATTTTTTATTACCTTATGCAACAAATCACTAACCGTTACATGTATATCACGTAGGGAGACTTTAATAATAAATTACTGTAAATAGCATTATTCACAATTTAATTAGCATTTAGCAATTTATTGTTGATAACCAAATTAATTTGTAGAATTGAATTTTGAGTTTTTAGTGGTAGCATGCAAAAACTTCACCGTATACTTCAATATGGTTATCCAACAATTCCTCCTATTTCGGTTGCCTCTTTGCGTGAATCTAGTGGATTCATGTATCTAGACGCAAATTTACCCTAAAAAATCATGTTGGTAGATAAAACAATCAAGGGCAGACTCAAACATTTTAGGTTAGGGAGTCACAATTAAACTTTCAAACGGTGGATAAATTGTAAATGATAGTGGCAGTCTGCAATCGACAGATTAGGAGAGAAAGATAAAGACATAAAGTTGAGTCTGAATGTGTCGATTGCATTGTACATTTATATTGTAGATTTAAAACTTCGACCTTCTAATAAAAAAAAAGAAT